AATATAAATTATATAATCTCTTACCATTATAAATATTATTTAGAAGAAATATGCCATGTTTAATTTCAAATGTATAGTTTCTTATCATGTGATTTAGAATAAAAAATTTAAAATAGGTCATCAAGATGTGTATTTATAGTAATAATTTATAAGTTACATTTTAACAATATTGTATCATGTAATCTAAAATAAATTATATAATTTTATCTTTCTATATATTATTTAGAATATGTGTTATTTTTAATTTCAAATGTATAATCTATTAATTTAACTCTTATAATTTAAAATAATCACATATCATAATGCATGTTATTAAAGTGACCTTATAGTTTCTTATTATTATAAATACTATTTATTATTAATATAATCTATTATTATATGTTCATGTGATTTGGATTTACGTTGCTTGATCAATGATCATAATGTTGTTTGTTACTTGTTAATAATTAAGTGTTTATTGTCTTTCCAAAATTTTTAATAAAAAACTTTTTTTAATCTTATTTTAAAATGTTACAAAGAACAATATATAATTAATATGTTAAGATTTATATATATATATATATATATTCCTATAGTGCTAATTTAATAATCTTATGATCTATATGGAAAGCTAATTGCTTCATTTGTCTCATTTTTGTATATATTGTATAATTTAACTTTATCGATTAAGTTAATTTCTTATTTTAATTGTGAAACCATATAGATAACTATATTTTTATTTCACATCCTCTTAATTCAAAATTTTAACATTGTTTAATTTGATACGAATTTTATATGTAAATTTTTAGTTGATTTAAATTTCAATAACTAACTAATAAAGCTATATATTTAATGGCAAATAAATTTTATTAAATAAATAAATATATTAATTTTATTAAATAAATAAAAAATGATAAAATTTTGAAGATAAATTTGTTATTTCTAAAATTTATAAGAATATATATCTCGTTATCATTTTACACTTACATATATATATATATATATGTATACATATATACATACATATATATAGATATCAATATAACCCTACATAAAAAGTATCCCTTAAGAAATCTTGGTTTGACACGTAGGTTTTTTTTTCTTTTATGGTAGCTATGTTTTGGCTAGAAGCAAGATCTTTTTTTTTTTTTGGTTTTTTATCAATCTCTTATGCTTGACCTGTAGGAAAATAAAGAACTTTCTTTGATAGGTGTCTCTTTTTTTTTTTGTTTTTGTATTTAACAAGTGTAGTTCCTTTCTATTTTTATAAGTTTTTTTCTTTTGTGTCTATTTTTGGTTAAAAGAGAGGTATTGTGGCATCAAAAACAGACTTCTTTGCTATGTGAGTTTTTTCTTTCATTATTTTGTTTTTTTTTAAACTATTTTTGAGATACAAATTTTATTTCTTTTTATTATTTGATTGAATGTGGATTTTTTTTTTTTTTTGGGTTTTGTTGTGATGATTTTGGTGTTATAGATTTTAATTTTATTTAATGGAGTTTGATTGTTAAATGGGGGTTCAAGTTATGTGGTTGGGAGGTTTGCATGTTATTGTAAATGTGCTTTTTTTGGAAAGATTTTATCTTTACATGTTTTGATCTTGGATGGAAATCAATTTTTAGTTGTTATTTTCTTTGATAATGCTCTTTTTTTATTGCAATTGCAATTTTTTTTTATTTTCATATTCAAATTTTGTTTTGTATGTTATTTGAATGAAGTTATGATTTTATTTTTAATTGATTTTCACCTTTTTTTTCAAGGTTGATTAAAGTTTTTTTTTATATTCAATTTTCATGTTAGTATGAATTGTTTTATGTGTTGTTTTGCATTATTTTTTGTGCATTTAGATTTGTTAAGTTGTATGTGGGTTTTTTTTTTTGTTAAGTTGTATGAACAACTTTTATCTATTGAGAATTGTCACCATTACACTAGATTTTTATTTTTTTAAAGATGTTTTTGTTAATAGGTGCATTTGTTTTGGTGTTTGATTTTTTTTTTCTTTTCTTAGCCTGTTTTTGTTAATAGATATATTCTTTGTGTTGTTATTAGAATAAATTATATGTAATTGTCTTGAAAGTACTTTAAATGTGAGTTTGATTAAGGGATAGGTTGATTGATTGGTGTTTCTCTCTTTTTTTTTTTAATGTTAAGCTCTGTTTTTTTACTTTGGATACCTTTTGCATAATTTTAAATAGAAAGGAACTGACTATTAGATTTGGGCAATATTATTATAGTAACTCTACCTATAAAATTTCTTGTTATCTATGTTGGTGTTTTTTGGTATTGAAAAGGTTAAGTTTAATAAGGATAATTTACTTGATGAAGCTGATGATGCTTTATTTAAAAAGATGTTAGAATCAATTATTTGCTTGCTTATTTAATAACTTTTTGGATAAAATTATGATGCGTTTGAATGGTTACATTTTTGGCTATAAAGGTAACAACATTTAGGTTAGTTGAAATTAGTTATTTTGCTAGGTTTTTTAGATTTGCAAAATTTTGAAAATAATTAGGCTTTAAAGTTGGATGTGGCTGAATTGGTGTTTTTCTTTTCTATTGATGAAAGGGTTCTACACAAGACAAGAACTTGACAATGATTATCGATGCTTTCAATAGCAATTTGCTAGATCAATTTGTGGAGAAAAAATAAGTGTATTATTTTAAATCTTTCAATCTTGGTCTTAATTTATGTTGATTGCAAAAATTGTCAAATGAATTAGGAGCATGTTATAGGTGTATATGAAAATGTTTTTTATGATTCATAATATATGGTTGAATACTTGAATCTTTGTGCTTTTGATGGTTATATTGTTATTTTGGGTCGTTCTCCATTTTTGCTATATTACTCTATCAATGTCTGAATTGTATCAAAAAGGGTCCAGCAAAGAAATATCCTTAGCATCCCGTACTATTAGTTAGTCTTGAATGATTAATGTTGATAAGCTCAACAAATGTTCATGCACACTTGCACAAAAAACATAAAACTTTAGTAGTCAAGCTAATAAATTTTTTTTGTAGGTTTGTTGGCGTTAACTATTGGTCTAGGAGATAATGGACAGAAATATTGGATGAATCAATCACTTTTTTTTGTAGGCTTTTAAATCTAGTTCTAAATCTTTTAAGATACCTTTGGTATGAAAAAATTGAATAAGGATTAAAATTCATTCCCCTCTAATAATTGTTGGCATTAAGATGCGTAATCAGTTTTTTTTTTTACATGATCTGGTTTGTCATTGTAGTTACTGGACTATTTGGTTGTCATCACTTTTGTTGTGGGAAATGATCTAGAGGACACAAAAAAATCAATGCAAATTATGTGGCAATTGGTTCATCCTAAATTAGGTTCAAATGTAAATATACATGCTTGATTTTCTCTAATTAACCAACATCTAATGTATTTAAGGTTTTGTACAAGTTATTACTTGCAAGTTATTAACTGAAAAACATGATGTATTAATGCATAGTTTTTTTGCTTTATTTGATGATTAATTAGTTTTGTTCGACTTGTAGCTTATTATTGTCAAACCTTTTGTAGCAGTAATAACAGCATTATGTCTACTTGGTCGTTTTTCTTTTTTTTTACAACAATGGATGGATGGAGAATCAATCCCAAACTTTGGCTAGAGTGAGTGAACTTTTTAAATCATACTCTTTCCTTTTTTTAATATGATAATTTATTATCTTTACAATCTTTTCATCCATATGTATTTCAGCTAAACTGATTGTTGGAATTTAAATCTTAGGAAATCAAGTTAAAGAACTTTGTGTGGTTTGAATTATGCTTCTACAATATAGGTAATACTTAACTATAAATTAAAAACACAATGTTGGGCAAATTTAATGGGTAAAAAGATTGATTGGTCTTTGAAAATTATGTAGGTACATTACATATTTAAATTTTATGCTATAGGCAGATACCATATTATTATAGCAACTTTACCTATAAATATTAAATATTATCAAAAATTACAATTTCAATGCTAAAATAAAAAAACTCATTATCTCACAAATATAACCCAACTCCCTTCAATTAACTCAAACTACAACCCTTTTAACATATACCAAAAACTCTATTAGATGTATATATACAAACAACTTATTCAACTCAAATTATGGACTCTGTTACATTTAAAAAATTTTAAAAAAATAAAATATTAAATTTAATAAAATACAAAAATCAATACAACAAACCGAACAAAATTGAGTATCCATTACCAATGTGTATATATATATATATATATATATATATATCCTAGTTCTCCAACCATACCTACAAACTATAGTGCAGAGAAAAGGCTATATGGTCCTGGATAGGAACTAACGGCATCTTGATTGTCTATATTGAGGTGCATGTATGGTAGAATTTAAGCATGACTTTTCGGTGAGACAAATAAACAATATGAAGGAGATTATCCATCACTTTTGAAAGAGATTCAAATTGATTGTCTATATTGAGGTGTATCTTTGGCCATACTAGTAATGCTCACATTTGCACTACTTGTTTTTTATCTTCCACTGAACCAACATCATTAAAATCCCCCATGACTATCCAATGATGATGATTAAATGTCGAATATTTAAAAATAAGCATGCCCTGTCCGTTGCCATTTCTAATTGGTAAAATGCAGATGAAGGCAGGGAGAAGCATGTTTCATTGACGTACGAGATGCTGGGTCCAAGGGCTCGGCATTTAGCCCAAATTCAGAGAGCAAATAGGCCCAATAATTTCTTAGTTTTCTTTATACATTTACTAATATATTAAATGAATTGCAGACCCAATATAACAAAATAAAGGTCCATTAGAAAACACGATGGTTCGACGGAAAAACATCAAATCCTAATAAGCTAACGGGAGACGGACAGGGACCTGTCATCAAACAGGCAAAACAAACGCTACTTTCACGAACATCACCCATACATTTTTTCCGTACGTCTTGTTTGCAGTTCAAACTTCAAACATCATAGGTTTTTTCTTTTTTTTCTTAATTAAAAAAAATGTGCTCTCTGCTGTTCCTTGAAGCAATGCCTCCCATCCCAATTTTCACTTTCAATTCCATAACTGGAAACCTTCATTTCTTATTCAGCCCCTCTTCCTCCTAATATAACCTCAACTCTAAGAAAACTCACCCAACTACTACTCCTAATGACGTCCCACCATCTTTGAAAATGCGTTGCTTATATTCCTCTTAAATATGCCTGTTTCTTCCGATCTCAGACAGGACCCATTTTCATTTCTTTGTTGATTCCTTCTTTGGGTTCTGGAGATTCTTCCAAAATGGGGAAATGCTTCTGGGCTTTTCTTTTTATTGCTTTTGGGTTTGCTCCGAGCATTACCGCTGAGCACAATCCTCGTACTGAGAGAATTTCTGGTATCTCTTGTTCTTAATGTTGCTCAAGTTTGGTTGCTTTCAAAGCTTTTTTTTTTTTGCCTTTGAAAAAGCTCCTGAGTTGAGCCGTTAATGAATTAAGCCCATACAGTTGCTAACTTGCTGTCTCTGTTAGCTCTGCTTTGAGTTGGAACATTGTTTATCTGCTACAAGATATCCGTGTATCATATATTACCACCAAGTGTTACTTTGTTTTATTTTTTTGTAACTAAGCTTACAGATATGCAGTGGCTGTGCTACTAATTCATAATATATGATATGTTTTGCAGTATCACTTTAAGTTGTTGAATCTAAAAAAATGTGATTTGAATAATGCAGGAAGTGCTGGTGATGTCTTGGAAGATGATCCAGTAGGAAGACTGAAGGTGTATGTATACGAGCTTCCAAGCAAATACAACAAGAAAATCCTTCAGAAAGACCCCAGATGTCTATCACATATGTTTGCTGCTGAGATCTTCATGCACAGGTTTCTTTTATCTAGTGCTGTTCGAACACTCAATCCAGAGGAAGCAGATTGGTTTTATACGCCTATATATGCCACTTGTGATCTTACACCTACTGGCTTGCCATTGCCCTTCAAGTCTCCACGGATGGTGAGAAGTGCAATACAGCTTATTTCCTCAAGCTGGCCTTACTGGAATAGAACAGAAGGGGCTGATCATTTCTTTGTTGTGCCCCATGATTTCGGAGCATGCTTTCACTATCAAGTAACTGAGTCTATACCATTTTGTTCCCTTATTTACTAGCATGTTAATGCTGACATTTTACCAAACGGCATATGTGATAATCATGTCTTCGATCCATTTTGGCATAAATCTTCATATGCAATCAAATTGGGAAGCTCATAGTCTATATTATATATTTTCACCGAAAGTAAATGATGGAGGTAGAAGTCATGTTTTGCCAGAAAAGTGTGTTCAAATAATCTTTGATGGCTCCATCTCAAGAATGATTATTGCCATGCGTGCATTGTTTCTGAAAATATTACATATAAGTGACCAGAATTAGTAAAGCATATTTAAGCTTTTTAAGTAGGCAGGAAAAAACACTCTTCCATGGACTTTAATGGAATAGCATTGGGTTTTTTGTAGGTGCCTTTTACTAGTTTAATGAACTCTGAGACCAAGCGTTCGGAATGCAATAGCAACTATCAAAATCATTGTAAAGTTAGACAGATAAAGAATTTACTTTAGTCATAATCCTTTTATATTAATACTAGTAACAAATAAGGTAGTGTGATTTCAGCAAGCGATATGTGGTATTACGGATGTTGGGATGTGAACTCTTGACTCCTAGATTAGTGGTTTAGTATTGTTTTGTAAGCAAACAAGCTAAAGCATGTGCTAATTTGCACCAACAGAAGCAATGGAGAAAGGATTACTATTCTAGACTCCAGTGGTCTATACACAAGGTGTACTAGTTTGGGGCCTTCTTAAATTTATACGTAGTTTATAGTCGAACCCCTGTGATTATAGTTATAAATCTTGTCCAGGAAGAGAAAGCTATTGAGCGGGGGATCCTTCCAATTCTCCAGCGTGCTACCTTGGTTCAGACTTTTGGGCAACGGAACCATGTGTGCCTGAAAGAGGGTTCAATCACAATTCCTCCTTATGCTCCCCCTCAAAAGATGCAGGCCCGCCAGATTCCACCAGAGACTCCACGGTCTATTTTTGTCTACTTCCGTGGGTTGTTTTATGACGTGAATAATGACCCTGAAGGTGGCTACTATGCAAGGTATTTTTCTATATTGAGGGTTTAGAGTAAGGCTTAGGTACTGTACTTTCTTCCAATTGAAATTAGCTCTTTAATTTTCATTTTTCTAGTTTACTGTAAGATGACTACATGAGGTAGATATGAGATGAGACCTATATTCTTTGTCTAGCCTTGATGCATGACCTTGTGCTATATTTGGATCTAGCTTCATCCTTTACATGAAGTTGGAAATTATTGTTGCAGCATACAGGGGCTGTTAGGTTGAATATTAACCTTTACTGACCCCTTTGATGACTGGCAGAGGTGCAAGGGCAGCTGTTTGGGAGAATTTTAAGAACAATCTACTTTTTGACATCTCCACTGAACATCCAACCACTTATTACGAGGATATGCAACGAGCTATATTCTGCTTGTGCCCGCTAGGGTGGGCACCCTGGAGTCCTAGGCTAGTCGAAGCTGTAGTATTCGGCTGCATTCCTGTCATCATAGCAGATGATATAGTTTTACCCTTTGCTGATGCTATCCCCTGGGAGGAAATTGGAGTGTTTGTTGCAGAAGAAGATGTTCCCAAGTTGGATACAATTCTCACATCTATACCCCCCGAAGTAATTTTAAGGAAACAGAGGCTTCTTGCAAATCCTTCAATGAAAAGAGCCATGTTGTTTCCACAACCTGCACTACCAGGAGATGCTTTCCATCAAATATTGAATGGCCTGGCTCGCAAATTGCCACATCAGAAGAGTATTTACTTGAAGCCTGGTAAAAAGATTTTGAACTGGACAGCAGGACCAGTTGGAGACTTGAAACCTTGGTGATGCAAGTGTTCTTCAACATTCATTGCTTCACCAAGCTCTCTCAGTTGTAGTAACAAGTCGAGACAGGTATTGGCCTTGTATAGAATTCTAAAATTTTCTTACAAATTCTAAATTTTGTATTGAAATACACATCTGGATATAGTCATATAGATTGATGACGCCTTAACACTTCCACATGAAAAAGCCTGAACACAACCAATTATTTTGATCTAGGTTGAGTTTTTACATATGCCCTCCATTCCATCATCATTCGGTTTAATCCTTTGAAGCCGTGGTTTAGAACGGAATTGAAGGAACCTTTATTTGATGATTTTGTGTCAACCATTTGCACGTGTGCCAGGATGGATGATACTAAAGTGGCCTGTGTTGACTGTTGATCCAACGGTCACTGTGAAATACCCTTGTGGGTTCGATTCACAATCGTTGCGCCCGTGACTTTTTTTTTTTATTCTTTTTTGGTGTATTAGAGTTATGCAAACCAATCATATGGCAACCCTTGGATGATAATAATAGTCAGATTAATGAGGTTCAACCATGATGAAGGACTGGCTTATTGCAGCCTAGGCAGCTGCGTGTCCCTAAAACCTTTTAAGTTGGAACTTCTTCTCTCCGAAAAGCAGAAAATGAAATAATAATAATAAAAAAATCTGTCAATCAAAAGTCCACTAGGTAGAAACATTCCAATTTCCATGTTTAGTTTCTAATCCTTTTATTCCTCTACCTAGGATGTCTCACTCATTATTTTACGGTGCAAGTTAAATTATAATACTTAATAATAATAATAAGTTTTACGATGAGTAATTAATGAAATGTTGAAATTTTTATTTAAATAATTAGAATTTAAATTTTGATAAGTTTAAATATATATAAAAAAAAATTATCTCCAAAGAAAAAACGTCAAAATTCAAAGTTTCAAACATCTCTATCTCAGTCCAACCACACCCCCCCCCCCAAAAAAAAAATCTGACATGTTCATGTGTACTTTTCAAGAAATCCACAATTCAAATTAGGCAGCAGGATCCCCAAAATCAAAATCCACGTGTGAATGAAATAAAAGGAAAAAAAAAATCCCAAAAGCCAAGGAGTCTGATATGAATCAAGTTGGGACCTTCTGCGCTACCCCTTGATCAGACGGCTTCAATCCTTTCTTCTTTCTTGGCTGGCCGAAATTCACCAATTAACTGAGTCAGGCTAGTTGCCTGCCATTTTTGTTTTAAATATTTGTATTTTTTATATGATATATGTCTATTGAATAAGTCAAATATAGACTTTATCAATAATTTATAAATGATATATTACTTATAATAAATTAATAACTTATTATCACACTAAAATGAGACAAAAATATTAATACTTTTTTTCTTCATGAATATCTAGAAGCACAACTGAATTCAATAAAAATGTTCGAAATAATACGGATTTATAGAAGCAAAAGTGAATCCAATATATATATTACACAATTGATTTATATACTCTTTTTGAAAAGAAAAAAAAAAAGAAGAGAGAGAGAGAAAGCAGCTTCCCTCGGTCGATTTCGATCACGCCTTGCGCTCTCCAACCAACTAAAGCTTCTCCGCCGCTGTCCGAACCTGATTCCCCCTTAGCCGTCGAAAACCGCCCTAAAACCCGCTGGTTTTACCCCAAACATCCCCACCCCTTTTCCCCTGTTTTGCAATGCCTCTCCGGCCACACTGCCGGTTTCCCCCCAAATAACACCACCAACCTCCTTTAACTTCCTCTAACTCATAAACCCGCTGCTAGGCTCTCCCTTTTTTTTTTTTTTTCAAAATTTCAATGATTTTTGTTTCACGTTGAGATTAATTTTTTGGTGTTTAAGATATGTTATTTTTAAGTATTGAATTTTTATTATTGGATGTTAAATTTTTTATCCTTCTTTTTAAATAAATTTTTTTATTGTAAAAGTTTTAGAAACCTACAAGATCTTCGTTATGCTCCAAAAAACACATAGTAATTTTTTTTCTAATAAATTTTAATATGATAATTATTTAGGGTTATTTGTCTACAAAACAGGTCAGGAGTTTATAAAGTGTTTACTTTATTTATTTATTTAATAAAATAATTAATATTATTAAAATTAAGATGATAATTATTTATTAATAATTTGTATATAATATATTTTTGGAACATGTAATCATCCGAATAATAACGAAATTAATTAAAAATTACTAGAATGATGCATGGTGGACACGGAAGAGAATTTTCATCATTGTGAAGACGAGTTTAGGAGGAAATTACAAGTAATTTTCTACTACATATAATATTGATATATTTTTCATTTTATTTTAATTTAATTATTTGAAGGTGATAATTATGATTTTTTGTTTAATTTTAAGAAAAATGCATGTGATTTTCATAATATACACTTTTGGTGTATAATATATGAGAAGAAACGTGTAAGAATGGTTTAAAGACATGTTACAATCTGAAATGAAGAAGGCAATTACATTTTTGGACACAAGCAAAATATAGAGTGCGATTTTTACAATTAATCAAAATAAAATAAAGTTGAAATTTGGGATGAGTTCATTGAAAAAAGAGTGAAGAATCCAAGCATGACAGCGTTATTAGAAACTTACAAGCTTACATTTTTAAAGATAAAGATTCTGTTGTTTATTAGTTTTAGAAAAGAATTTTAACTAAAAAAATTGAAAAAAAAAAAATACATTTTTAACGATAAAATTTTAGTGGTTAAATCTTATTATTGATGAAATTTTATATTTAATTTTAATAGATTAAATTTTATGAAAATTAATTTTAACAATAAATATTAGATAATAATAATAAAAGCTTCTGGCACTAATACCCTCCTAACGAGAAAAAGCTTACTTTAATGGGTATTAACAATTGAATGTGAGTTCATGAGATTGGATTCGAAATATTATTTAACTAAATTATAATTCATACGATGCATAAAATAATTTTATTTATTTAATATGAATACATATATTAGTTTTTAAAAATTATTTTAAAATTTTTAAAATTCATAACATATATAAAACTTATATATATTAACTTGTCATTAAAAAAATAAACTTTATGAAAATAGTAAGAAAAAAATTATGTTTTTCTTTGAGATTTTTTGTTTATAATAATATATATACATCTGGACGATTATATCAAATAAAAATAAATTATGCCTTTCTTAAAAAATATATATTATTGAATGAAAAATTAAATAATAAAAATATTAATATACTTTCATTTTAGTAATCTTGATTAAATTATTATGTAAAATATGAAAAATGTTAGAAAATGTATGAAAAAAGAAAAAATAAATTAAAAAATATTATTTTTCATAAGAATGAAACTATAATAATAATAAAATATATCTTAAAAAAAGTTATAAACAAAAAAAATTGTAATAGTAATAGAATATATCTTGGAAAAAAATTACTAAAAAATAAAAAAATTATGTATAACATATTATATTTGTAGTTTTAAATTTATATAAGAATTTTTTAGTGACAATTAGGATTAAATAGATAATTTTTAAATTAATTTTTTAAAACTTAAAACGGATATAAAAAGTGATAAAGATAATATTAAATTTTTAGTATTTATTTGAAATATAAATTTGATAATTAGAGTTTAAATGGATATAATTGTTTTGATTATTTTATTATTTAAAAATTTAAGATGAAAATTTTTGAATTTTGAATTTTCAAAATCTTACATAAAATTACTTGAATTTTTAATTTATTACGTAAATTTTTTAAAAAGATAATTTTTTTAAATCAAGATAAAAAAGATTGTAAAAAAATTTTGATAAATTTAATCTTTGTAATTTTTAAATATGTTTGAAAGATTTTAATAATTAAATAATTTTTTAAATTAAGTTATTCGTTAAACAACTAAAATTATTTATTAAAAAAATAAAATCCATATTTTATATTTTTAATTTTAAAAAATATATCTTTAAATTAATTTGATTTTCAATTATAATTTGAATAGTTTGAATATTTGAATAAATTTAAAACTATTTAATTTGTAATTAAAAATAACTATCTTATGTTTTAAAAAAATTATCTTATATGTTATTTAAAAAAATTATTCACATAGACATCAATGAGACAAACTTATTTATGTATATTATTATATAATATATATATATATATTCAATTAATAAAAATATGTTTATTTAATTTTAAATATATTAAATTTTTTTAAAAATATTTAGATATTTTGTTATTTTAATATATTTTAAAAAAGTTTTGAGTTTTAGGACTTTTAAAAGAATAAAATTGACTCACGAAACGTAGCTAGGTATAATACAATTAGTGATGGCGATGGGTTGAGTTGGGGGTAAGTTTTGCTCGTCTTGAACCTGACTCGACTTTAAATAAATAAAACTCGAACTCAACCTGACTTTAAATATATAAAACTCGAATCCGATCTGATAAATTTTTTATTTTTTTATACTTGAACTCAACCCGACATTGTATAAAATCATATCTGATCCGATTCGACATGAATTAATAAAATATTATTTTTAATATAAATATAAAATTAAATATATAAAAAATAAATATAAATAAATAATTAAATAAATAATTTATATATATTGGGTTAGGTTTACTTAAAATTTGACTCTAACTCGACCTTGATTTTTTTTTTTATGTCACTCGATCTAATATCTAATTTAAAAAAACAAAATTAATCCAAAAAATTCGAGTTGAGTCCAAACCTATCGATTTCAAATTTTTTTGCTTTCTCTATATACAATTTGTTGTTAAAATAAAGAGTGGGTAGAAAGACGAGCGCCCCATCAAAGCCCAAATACTAGAATATGGTCTTCATTACGACATTATTATTATTATTTTAAAAATTTTTTAAATCAAAAATCAATGTTACAACTAATTTTTGGTGCAACAATTTGTCTTTATATATATAAATATATATTTGCATACGAATTAGTTATTAAATGGAATGAAAATACAAAAAATATTCCCAATATATATATATATATATATTTCAGAGTAGACTTTTCAATTGATGAAGTGCTAGCCATATTTGTCAAAAATTTTAAGTCGACATTTGGATCAAAATTTTTAAATTTTAGATTGATTAATTATGATATGTGAACATATTATAGTATTAAATAATTTTATTTTACTTTATCTTATTTTAAAGAATATATAAAATATAAAAATATTAATATAAAATATTTAATATTTTAATAGTAAATTAAAATAAAAAAATCTAAATAAATAGGTTGGATCTAACCTTGAACATACATACAATCTGAAATATTATTCAAATTTGGTACTAACTGTCGTATAATTTTTTTTTAAGTTAACTGTCGTATAATTTTATTTTAAAGAAAATATACGCTCTTACGTTATATATTAACAAAGATAAATTGAACGTACAAAAACTGTAGTAAGTATGAGAAATTTTTTTTTTTGGGTGTACGTTAGTAGCCTATATTGGACTCTTTAAATTAGATATATAACAGAGATTAAATAGTAATTTTATGTGTGGAATCATTGTATAAGATTATAATAAAATATAATAAAATAATATTATAAATATGATTAAACTTTATTTTATTTTATATTTAATATATATAAAGATTTATGTATGATAATTTATTTATTTGTTAAAATTATTTTTTTAAAAATTTATATAATTTAAATTATTAATGTAATTTTAAAAAATATAATTAAATATGTAAATTTAATTTTATGAATTAAAAATAATCATCTCCATTTGATAATGATTAAATAATTTTATACTAAAAAAATATTAATTTTTTTTATAATTTTATATATATTTTAAATATAAATTAAATATAATATAAAATAATTATTATTTTATTCTATCAATAATCTTATATATTTCATATTTTAGTATCTCTAAAATAGAAAAAGAGAAAGTTTGTAAAATTAGAAATTAAAGAAGTTTTGTAAAGCACAAAGAGAAAATTTTGACGAAAAAAGACAGATAAAATTTTGAGGTAAGCGTGAAATGGAGTTGGCATCTAAATCTAAAGCAACAAAAGTGGGGAATACGTACAAATAAAATAAAGATATTACCGAGATTGCACCCATGGAAATGTCTTCACCTGCTCGTTTGGGTCAACTGAAAGGCGCCCTTCTTTACTCCCCCAACGACCCCAACTCAACTTCAACCCCCGCCCTCTCTTTATTCATGATCTAAGCCAAAGCCAAAACGACTCTCCATCTTATTTTATTTTTTTATCGTTCCCATCGTAATGTTAAAATAACAAAGTCTTTTTTTTTCCCTTTTGTTGGAGCCTCCTTCACCAACCCTACCGCTCGCCCTGTCCGGTCTCTCATCCTTTGATCTTTGTCTATGGCAACCATTTCCAAGCTTTCTAACCCCAACCCAGCCGTTTCTCTTTCATCATCTTTCAAACCCAGATCTTCTTCATCGCTTAAATGCTTCGTTCGGTTCCCTGCCACGGCTGCTTTTAACTCTAAGCTGGTTTCATCTTCTAGCTTGTCCTTCCCAAACCACAATCCTTTCAGGGACTCCTTGGTGTAAGTATTTGCTCTACATCAACGACCTTTCTCAAATTGATTTCCGGGTTTTTGTTTTTTGTTTTTGTTGGTTGATGTAAACAGTGCTTGTTTGCTTTGATGTTGATTGATTTAAAGCCTGAAACCTTTTTCTTTCTTTTCTTTGGAAGTTTTGTTGATTCATGCAGATATTTTGATTTTATTTCTTGATTTGATGTTGACTTGGCTTTGCTTTGATTCATTGTTATCATGAACATTTAGTACCTATTGATTTTTTTTTTAAGATAGACTTTTTTTTTTGTTGCTCTTTAACAAACTTTTCTTAGGATCTATTGTTTGGAATTTGGAAGGATTGTTTTCAAGTAAGTTGGTCAGGGTTTTGACCAAAGATGGTTTTTTTATGGAAGCTATTACAACCTAGTATTCTCAGCACTGCTTGTTGTATACGTAACGCAGCGAATGAGATTTTACAAGAAACAGTGGTGCATTGTTATTCATTTTAGTTGCTTGCTACTTTGCCCTTCCATTTTAGGCTTCTTTGATTCCAACTACGTTTTCTTATTGCAGTGTCAGATGTTCTCTTGTTGATGGAAACGGTAGTTCAGTAAAGAGGACTACTTTACATGATCTGTATGAAAAAGAAGGGCAGAGTCCATGGTATGACAACCTTTGTAGGCCAGTGACCGATTTGCTGCCACTGATTGCGAATGGGGTTAGAGGTGTAACTAGCAACCCAGCGGTAAATACCTGCTATGGTTTTGTTTTATCTGTTGTTTTAGTTGGTGGCATTTGTCTATTTTGATCCCCTGTAGCAACTTTGAAAATATGTGATTGCAGATTTTCCAGAAAGCTATATCGTCATCAAATGCTTACAATGATCAATTCAGGTATTCTTGGTTACCTACTATTTTAAGTGTTGTGATGAGTAGCATTAGTGCACTGATTCATGATGCAAAGTAGACAATTGTATTTAGGCTTGGCATTTCATGTCATAATATACCTAAACCCATAGCATCAGCAGAAAGGAAAAATGAAAGTAGAAATTAGAAACTAGAGAAAAACAAAGACTTGCTCATCTAACCTGAGTTGACGGGTTATCATGATCTCTTGGGGTTTGAGAATTGAATTTTTGGATCTTTTTAATACTCAGTCTTTATCTTTAAAAATACTGGAATTTGCAGGGAACTTATACAGACTGGAAAAGATATTGAAAGTGCATATTGGGAGTTAGTGGTGAAGGACATTCAAGATGCGTGCAAACTTTTTGAGCCAATCTATGAGCAAACAGATGGAGGTGATGGTTATGTTTCTGTCGAGGTTTCTCCCAGACTTGCTGATGATACTGAAGGGACCATTGAAGCAGCCAAATATCTTCATAAAGTGGTTGATCGTCCCAATGTGTACATTAAGATTCCTGCAACAGCACCATGCATTCCTTCAATCAAGGAAGTTATTGCAAAGGGCATAAGCGTGAATGTCACTGTATGTTATTTCTAATTTCCTGGCTTTACTTAGACTGGAAGATGTAGTGTTATGCTACATGCATCTGTTTCACAAATGTTCTTGTGAGCATCTACTGTTATACCAATCCTAACAATTAATGCTTTGGATGGGCAATTGGCTGACAAGTCAAGAACCATTTTCACCCAATCAACAGAGCTTTCCAGTCTTGAGATTTCTGGCACTTAAAACTGTTTGGGCCGTTTTTTAGTTCTGAACTTGTTTCACTGACGTTTTAGATAATTGTGGACGTATTTTGCAAGTAAATCTGGGCTAGATTTGTTTCTTTTGTGTACTAAACTTGATTTTTTCTTCTTATGTGTATGCACAGCTCATATTTTCACTTGCTAGATATGAAGCTGTCATTGATTCTTACCTGGATGGCCTTGAGGCTTCCGGGCGGAGTGATCTCTCTAGGGTTACAAGTGTAGCTTCCTTCTTTGTCAGTCGGGTAGACACCCTTATTGATAAAATGCTTGAAAAGATTGGAACACCAGAGGCCCTTGATCTCCGAGGAAAGGTAACTAAACCGCAAGATACATGTTCTTACACTTTGAATATTAACTGAATTACATGTCAAGACTTACTTACATCATGTCATGGTTACTGTTTTTTAGGCTGCCGTAGCTCAATCAGCTCTAGCATATCAGCTCTACCGGAAGAAATTCTCTGGTCCAAGATGGGAGGCTTTGGTGAAGAAGGGTGCTAAGAAACAGAGGTTGCTGTGGGCCTCAACTAGTGTCAAGAACCCTGCCTACCCTGACACTCTATATGTCGCTCCTCTTATTGGACCTGACACAGTGAGCTATCTTCTTGTTGAGTAAAGACATGGTTTTCAACTTGAGTTGGTGAATAATTCTGTTATGTTTTTGGTCATTTGTGCTGTTGCAGGTTTCAACCATGCCTGACCAAGCACTCCAAGCCTTCATAGATCATGGCACTGTTTCAAGGACAATTGACACAAACGTGTCTGAAGCTGAAGGCATCTATAGTGCACTTGAGAAGTTGGGGATTGACTGGGGCTATGTCGGCTCTCAGCTTGAGGATGAGGGGGTGGAGTCCTTCAAGAAGAGCTTTGACAGCCTTCTTGACACCCTGCAAGAGAAGGCAAACTCTCTTAAATTGATTAGCCTGTAAAGCATTTGTGATATGCTTGTTTTGCTGTCACCGCAACCAAATAAAAGAAGCGGGTCTTGGTTCCTGCTTGTAAAGTTAGTTGGTGAGCGTTTTATAAGATGTTGAATATCATGTACCTTAACATAAAGGGTTTAGTGCTTGTTTATGGAAATTTCATTTTGTGCTTATTTCTGTGTTTCTTCTAACATTCTTCTTCTGATCATGAAGTTGCAGACTCTGGTCCTAAAGCAAGAGGATATATGGTAATTTTGATTGCACCAGGATATTTGTGGTTCTTGCTGCGAATCATCATATTTACAACAGTAGTAGTAACATTTTGGTCAATTTCTATAATTGATGGTCAAAAGTCAAATGTTTCTTCACAAAGAATACCTTAAACACTGCCCTTTGGATCTTAGTTGTTTTTGCGTGGCCAGAAAAGATCGCAAAATTTCCGTGATTCTACCAGTGTCATTTACCAAAATGAAAATATAAACAAAAGTTGTTTTGTTTTTTCGGTTTGACCTAATTAATGCCGACGAGACGGCTTAAATTACAGCTTCCACGTATAAAAAGGAAAACCAGAAGAAGTCATGAATGTAGGTTAGACAGCAATTAAGGAACCGATTTAGAGTAAAATTCAGTTGATATTGTTTCCGATTAGGTTTGAAAATTTAAATAAATATAAAGATGAATTAACAATTTGTGAATAAATTTTATTTTATTTTATTTATTAAATTTAATAAAATATTATAAATGATATTTTAAAACTTATTAATTAAATAAATAGATTATAAATATAATAAAATTTTAATTAATTATATTTTTGTACAAAAAAATCTTAATCAATTTTAAAGTTTAAAAAATAAAAAAAATAAAATGGTTTACCAACAAAAAGTTGAAAACAAAATATGAAAAATTAATTTGAAAAAAATTAATATTATGAATGATCTTTAAATTATAGTAAAACACTTAATATAATACTTTAATTTTAAAAATTATTAATGTAGTATATGAATTATGAATTTATTAATTAAAATAATTAATTTCAAATGATCACTTGTAATAAATAAATAATCATTTAAATAAAATATTAATTAACAAGATTATGATTTAAGTATCCCACTTAAAACTTTTTAAAATTTAAATATTATCTAAATTATATATATTTTCATCACCTATTACTTAAAATTATGACATTTGAACACTGCTACATCAGTTCCATATTGCCACATCATTGAATAATAAACATTAAATATAAAAAATTAACATAAATCATTTTTTTAATTATAAAAATAATTAATTATCTGTTAATCTATTAATATAATTTTAATTAATTATGTTAAATATTATTTATAAAATAAAATAAAATAAAATTTTAACATATAAATACAATCTATTTAAAATTCTTAAAAAAAAGATAAGATAATATAGTATTTAAAAAAATTAATTAAAAATTGATTAACATAAAAAGATGAGAATTAACGTAAATTTAGTGTTATTTAATATAAAATATGTTAGAAGTATCATAATATTTTAAAAGAAAGTTATGATAATTTTAATTGTAATGAATATAAGAATATGCATAAAAAGATATTATTATAACACAAATAATTAAGTTAACAACATAAAAGAATTATTACTATAAACCTAAAGAATAATTCTAAATCAATAAATAGGGTTAAATGATATAATAGCACTCGCAAGTTACTCAAATTCGATTAAAATAAAATTTAAATTTAACTCGATTATTATTGAGTCAAGTTTGAGATCGAGTAACTCGACTCATTGATCGAATCGAGTTCGAACATTCTTATATCCGGTTCGAATAGTTCGTGAGCCTAATCGAACTTTTATATTTAAATATATTTTAATTATTTTAATTACTAAAATATCTCGAACTCGAGTTCGAGCACAAATAGTCGAGCTTTTATTGAATATAAGAATTGAGCTTATTTTTACATATTAATTGAGCTTAATCGAGCAAGCTCGAGTAATCAATTTCTATTTCGAGTCGAGCTCGAGTTAAAAAAATAAAATTCGATCGAATTTGAACCAAATTTTGAGCTTAAAATTTCGAATCGAGCTCGAGTTCAAGTTCAAGTTTAATCATGTATCGATTTGAACTCGATCAATTACACCCCTTAAAATAAGTATTAATATAAAAAAGTGAGAATAGTTATAAAATTAGTATCATTTTAACGTAAAATGAGTTAAAAGTGTTGTAATATCCTAACAAAGAGTTGTAATAGTTATAAACATAATGAAAAGTAATAACAAGCATAAAAAGATATTATTGTAACAAAAACAATTAAGTTGATAATATAAAAAAAATATTATGACAAATAAAAAAATTTTAAACAAAAAAATAAAAGTTAATGTAAAAAGTAAGAATAATTGTAAAATTAGTATTATTTAACATAAAATGATTACAAGTATCATTATATCTTGATAAAACATTATAACAATTTTAAACATAATAAAAAGTAACAACAAGAAAAATAAATTATTAAAACATAAATAATTAAATTGATAATGTAAAAAAACTAGTATTATAAATAAAAAATAATTCTACATTAAAAAGTAAGTGTTAACATAAAAAGATAAAAATAATCATAAAATTAATATTTTTTTACGTAAAATAATTAGAGGTATTGTAACACCTTTAAGAAAAAATTATGATAGTCCTAAATGTAACAAAAGATAACAATAAACGTAAAAAAATATTATTATAACGTAAATAATTAAATTAATAATATAAAAAATTATTATTATAAATAAAAATTATTCTAAACAAAAAAAGTATTAACTTAAAAAAGTGAAGGTAATTGTAAAATTAAAATCATTTGACATAAATATGTATTAAAAATATTGTACTACAAAAAGATAAGAATAATTGTAAAATTAAAGTTACTTTATATAAATTGGATTAAAATTATCATAATACTCTAACAAAATATTGTGATAAATTTAAACGTAATTAAAAAATAAAAACAAATATAAAAAGATATTATTATAATATAAATAATATTTTTGATAACATAAAACAATTATTATTTCAAATAACTAGATAAAAAACCCGCACTTCACAGCGGGATAATCTTACGTAGCTTCCCAAGAATAACAGTTCAAGGCCTAGTAACTTGTAAGAGTATTTTAGCAAAGGATATTGTGACCTGCCATGGAGTTCAGTGACAAAAGAATTAAGTAAAACATATAATAGAATATAATTCATCTTCAGGAATTTTAGGTAGTGGACATCTAAGTTCTTACAGCAATTGGAAGGCATATCTCAACTGATGAAAAAGACTTCTCCGAAAAAGGCTCCTAGGCATGCAACAAAATCCAATTTATCAATCTTCCTTGTCAAAATTGCCGCCTAAACAATTGAAGAGCCTTATATTTGTCTGCAAAATTATAAAGCTGCTTAGTATGCTTAAGATGTGTGCTTGAATATGTGGAATTAGCTGTCTTAAACACCAGAGATGCTGAAGCCATAGCAGCAGCAGTTTCAGCTACAACCTCTGTCCCTGGAACAGATGCGTTCACCTGTGTGAGAGGCCTCCTCTTTCATGACCTCAAGTCTTTCCCAACATTTATGGTTTGCTACAAGATCACCCACCTACCTCATTGTTGGAAGTAAAAATCTAAAAGTTAATATACATTTTAGAGGTTTTTTTTAAAGGATTGTGCAATTATCAATTTGGTCACACCATCTTAGATTCCAAGTCAAGTATGTTTTACGAAACAGCTGCAAAAGTGGCACAAGGTTTCTCACTTAGTAAAATGAGACTATGAACAATAGCATGCTCACTATGACAATGTAATTGATCTCATATTTCCAAACAACCAATCATGACAACATCAGAAATACCAAGCTATAAATTAAAGGCCTAGAACTAGTTGCTAAATTTCAAGATATTCCGGATCCTTAATAAATGCTACCTTTAGTCAAAGCTCCTATGCATTTTATTAAGTCAGAATGTAAATTTCTAAGGCAAGATTAAAAAAAACAAAAACGAAAGCAATTTAAATGCACTTGCACAATCACTCATGTACAAACACACACAATCCACAAAAATAGATGGTAGTTAAAGACAAGGGTTCAGTGATTGACCTATCAAGAATTTGAGGAATTCGTTTGGAAACATATAAGCTGAAGCTCACTCAGATAAACTGACAGAAAATATTGTCATATGAAGATGTTTAACTAAATGGGAAATTTAAAATCTTCAAGGGAAAACCATGATCTTCTATTGCATGGGGAGTGAAAGAGCTATCGCTTTTTTCTTCCATCCTTCCCAGACTTGGAAGATCGGAAACACTTGATGTGGTTGGAGTGTCCTGCTTCTTAGTCCTCCCAGGATATCTATCTAGGTACCAACTTTGCAACATGGAGCATCAGCTGTTTTCCTGCAACCAAACAAATTATGGAAGTAGAATCATTCATAGTGGCATTCATTGTGTTACATTCCAGTCATAATCCATTATGTCACTATTCTTTTTTCCTTATAATTTAATGAAATCAATGAGACAAAGGAAACATGTCTCCCTTCATAATCTAATTTGGTGAAATTAAAGATTAAAAGTGCTTTTACATTTTACTTCAAAGTTCGGATGAACTTATGCAGCAGTATAAAAGCAGAGGAAACACTATCAAATAACTCACTTAAAAACCCAATTTATATGCCCACAAATGGCATTTTTCGAAGAATTCAATATATTTATTTTACAATCAGGTTCTGAACTGGCATTATAATTTTTTAAAACTATACTTGCTGGAAGAAATGGCTAGATTGTATAAAGTCCCATCCCCTCACTCTCCCCCTTTGCATGAAATTGTGTGGGTACGCCTTATCAATCTACAATAGTCATGAATTCTAAACAAGTTATGGAAGTAGGGTCATTCAAATTATGGAAGGGAGGTGTTATGAATTCTAAGGTTACAAATACAACACAGGACATAATGATATTAGAGACAGCAGTTTCATAGCCAGCCATAAAATTTACTGCTGACTGAGAAAATGAACCTGCAAGTAATGAAGGAAAAACATCATTAGTTATATAACAATAGAATTATGTGACTCAGTATGTACATGTCTATATTTTCAATAAATCTTATTCGTATTGACAAATAATCAAAAGATTTAATATGATGCAAATGAAAAATGTTTTAATATTTTCCATG